ATCCATAACTCATGGCAAGTTCCTATCAGCAAATTAAAAGTAAAAGAATAGGCCGGGTCTGGTGGCTCACGCCTGTAATCCCAGCACTTTGGGAGGCTGAGGTGGATGGATCACCTGAAGTCAAGAGTTTGAGACAAGCCTGCCAACATTGTGAAACCCCATCTCTACTAAAAATACAAAAAATTCGCCAGATATGGTGGTGCCTGCCTGTAATTCCAGCTACTCAGGAAGCTGAGGCAGGAAAATCACTTGAACCTGGGAGGCAGAGGTTGCAGTGAGCTGAGATTGTGCCACTACACTCCAGCCTGGGTGACAGAGCAAGACTCCATCTCAAAAAACAAACAAACAAAAACCAGAGAAGTGTAAAAAGCAGAGGTGGCCTCAAGGAAGGGACTACATGGCCCTAACCTTCAATAGACATTCCTGAGGATCACAGATCAGTGTGGTAAAGGTCATCCATAGTGATGACTGTCAATCAGAAAAAGGCTGTGTTAACCAATAGTCTTTGTGTAATGAGACAGGGGAAGGGGTGTCATATATTTAAAAGGCTTCTGTTTAAAATGGGCTACAAACATTTTAAAGCGTCAGAATAAGCGTCATATATGTAGATGCCCTATCGCCTCCAATTCCCACACTTCTAAGCATAGTCAGGGTGAAGTGAGAGTTGCATGCATATGTTTTCTCCATGCATCATAGCCAAAGATACTTTCTTACCACCTCTTAATCTCATGGTTATTTCCATTATTTTAGTTACAGGAGCTAAATACCCTGAAGCAGCAAAAAGCTTTCATTATGGACCTGTTCAGAACTCAGAATATTGCCATAATGACCATTATGTCTTTGCTGCTATGGTAAGTAGTAAGTAACCTGGAAATGCAGACATCCAGCATGTAAGTATGCAACTGATTTTCTTTGACTCAGAGTAACATTATGGCAACACCTGGGTTTTCCTGAGGAAAAATTAAGATTATAAAGTTCTAAATTATTCTGAAATGCCTCGATTCAGTTCATGGGACTGGATGCTGAAAAAATGTCACTGGCTGCAGTGGCTCACACCTGTAATCCCAGCATTTTGAGAGGCTGAGGTAGGCAGGAGTTTGAGATCAGTCTGGCCAACATGTTGAAACCCTGTCTCTACTAAAAATACAAAAAATAGCCTGGCATGGTGGCACGTATCTGTAATCCCAGCTATTCGGGAGGCTGAGGCAGGATAATCACTTGAACCCAGGAGGCAGAGGTTGCAGTGAGCCTAGATTGTGCTACTGCACTCCAGCCTTGGCAGCAGGGCAACACTCTATTTAAAAAAAAAAAAAAAAAAAAAAAAAGTAAGAAAAGAAAGAAAGAAAAAGAAAAAGAAAGGCACAGGGAACAGTATTTAAGCCTGCAGTACTGGGGCCCAAAGGGAAAGCATTCCCCTCTCCTAAAGTTATGGGATTGAGATATCATTGATGTCCCTGGGTAAGTGTTCCCTCCCCACCAAAAATTGTGAGATTAAGACTACTGATATCCCTGGTGCCTGAGGCAGAGATACTAATTCAGCTCCTGCTCCTAAAACTGACCTGGCAATTGAACAGTGAGGCTACAATAACCTAGATCCCCACTATGTGTATTGGAGCCTTGATAAGCTTTTTACACTTGCCAATAGCAAACTAACAAGTGGCTTTAAGGCACAGAAATAATGAATTGGCTTTATAGATTAGATTTAATAATTAATCTGCCAAGAAAAAAAGAGAAAGGAAAAAAGAAAATTCCTACTCTTGATGGCAGTGCACACGTGCACACACGCGCGTGCGCACGCGCACACACACACACACACCCCATCTCTGGATGCTCCTAATTTACATGGAGATGCCTACCTGAACTGTTTCCTCTCTGCCTTGATTGAAGTTCCAGTTTACACATACACATACACAAAAGATGATCATCAAAACTGGTAGATTGAAGCTGCAGCTAGTCTAAGCTTATTATTATTATTATTATTATTACTATTATTATTATTAAAGATGGGGTTTTACCATGATGACCAGGCTGGTCTTGAACTCCTGACCTCAGGTGATCTACCCATCTCGGCCTCCCAAAGTGCTAGGATTACAGGCGTGAGCCACCACGCCCGGCCAGTCTAAGCTTATTTTTAAGAGCCATCCTACTTGGCAATTAGAAGAGATCGGTGACAGAACTTATGCCTCTGAATTAAGCAAGTGTGTCCCAGCTACATGACCTTCTTAGTTCTTACATTTCAGCATGTATCTCTGATGCAAATGTTCTTAGGTAATAGTGCTATTAAGCTAATAAAAAATTAGTCACTAGTTCTATCTAAGCTGCTTCAATTACTTGCTAAATGGGAAAATCACTAAGATCCCTTGAGCAGTAAAGTTTAATTATTTGCTTTTTTTTATGAATTGGTCCTTACGGTTATCTGATTTGGGTCTAGCATGTATAAAAAGATCCATCAGTGTTTCTGAAAGCATTTTTCAAATATCCTCTGCTTCTAGGTCATGTTAATAATAAGCAAATTTCTATACAGGGGCGTCTGCATAGTGCAGTTGTAACAGAAACGCAGATTCAGTCACTCACAGCTTGCAGCGTCCAATTAACAAGAGCAAGGTCTGATGTAAGGAAAGTGACTTTTTATTCCAAAGCTAGCTTGGGGGGAAGGGTATCAGCTTCCTGCCTGAAGGGTACCGCTTCTCTTTTTGGAGAAGAAAGCAGGCACTTTGGCCGGGCGCCGTGGCTCAAGCCTGTAATCCCAGCAGTTTGGGAGGCCGAGGCGGGTGGATCACGAGGTCAAGATATCGAGACCATCCTGGTCAACATGGTGAAACCCCGTCTCTACTAAAAACACAAAAAATTAGCTGGGCATGGTGGCGCGTGCCTGTAATCCCAGCTACTCAGGAGGCTGAGGCAGGAGAATTGCTTGAATCCAGGAGACGGAGGTTGTGGTGAGCCGAGATCGTGCCATTGCACTCCAGCCTGGGTAACAAGAGCGAAACTCCGTCTCAAAAAAAAAAAAAAAAAGAAAGCAGGCACTTTTAAAAGGCAGGGGAGGACACAAGCAGGTGAGGGGTCCCAGTGTTAGCTTGTTACCTTATCTACTAGGCAGATGAGTTGGTGCCTCCATGGGCAGAAATAGGCTGTACATATGGCCAAAAATTCTAGCAGGCACACTTTGGGTTGGAAATGGACTGTTATATCTCGAGGAAATCTCCTAGGGGGTGAGAGTCCCGCTCTGGAGCTTCTAAGCACATTGTTAGATAAACTTGCCCTGCAGGGAGTGTCCAGTGAAGAGGAGGTTAAAAGGCACTTCTAGGGCCTGGCGCAGTGGCTCATGCCTGTAATCCCAACACTGTGGGAGGCCTTATCTACTGGGCAGTTGAGTAGGTGCTTTCATGGGCAGAAATAGTTTGTACAGGTGGCCAAAAACTCTAGCAGGTACTCTTTGGGTTGGAAATTGACTGTTATCTCTTGAGGAAATCTCCCAGGGAGTGAGAGTTCCACTCTTGAGCTTCTAAGTACATAGATAAACTTGCCCTGCACAGAGTGTCCAGTGAAGAGAGGGTTAAAAGGCACTTCTAGGGCCAGGCGCAGTGGCTCACGCCTGTAATCACAGCACTTTGGGAGGCCAAGGTGGGGGGATCATGAGGTCAGGAGATCGAGACCATCCTGGCCAACATGGTGAAACCCTGTCTCTACCAGAAATACAAAAAAATTAGCTGGGTGTGGTAGCGCACGTCTGTAGTCCTAGCTACTTGGGAGGCTAAGGCAGGAGAATTGCTCGAACCCAGGAGGTGGAGATTGCAGTGAGCCGAGATTGTGACACTCCACTACAGCCTGGGTAACAGTGTAAGACTCTTCATCTCAAAAACAAAACAAAACAAAAACAAAGGCACTTCTAAAGGGCAAGTAGAAACTAGGGAAAAGGAGGAATGAGAAAAGAAGAAAGAGAGAATAAACTATCTCTTAGAAAAAATGAGGGTACTCAGTTACATAGTAATTTTTTCCACAGGGAAGCTTTTTTTTTTTTTTTTTTTTTTTTTTTTTTTTTTGAGATGGGGTCTGGGGTCCTGCTCTGTCACTCAGGCTGGAGTACAATGGTGCGATCTTGGCTCACTGCAACCTTTGCTTCCTGAGTTCAAGCAATTCTGTCTCAGCCTCCCAAGTAGCTGGGATTACAGGTGCATACCACCATGCCCAGCTAATTCGTATTTTTTAGTAGAGACGGGGTTTCACCATGTTGGCCAGGCTGGTCTCAAACTCCTGACTTCAGGTGATTTGTCTGCCTCAGTCTCCCAAAGTGCTGGGATTTCAGGTGTGAGCCACCACGCCCAGCCCACAGAGAAGCTTTTACATGGAAGTTAACTATAATGACAGGATGTACAGGCTGCACTCTGATACTTGGAAGCATTAAGGGACATTCCTCTTTTGCCTAAAGAGAATTAGAATTTACTCTAAGTGGATCCCACAGTATGACCCTTGTATCTTCTTTTTAGTTAAAGAATGAAATCTGGATTTTATGTTCACTGATGTGACTAATAGTTTTTCTTCAAATAATAGCTCTAAGAGATTGAGGAGGCACAAACTATTCAGGAAATAGGAAAACTTGAAATCAACTAACTGAGAAAAGGTATTGTTGAATTTGGTATATATCTAGACTAGCATTGTCCAATAAAACTTTCTGCAGTGATGAAAATGTTTTATATCTATGTTGTTCAGTGTAGCAACCACTAGCTACACTTGACTATTAAGAACTTGAAGTTCTTAATAGTCAAGTGTAGCTAGTGGTTGCTAGTGTAACTAAGGAAATGAATTTGTAATTTTATTTAATTTTATCTTATTTAAATTTAAATAGCCAATGAGGGTAGTGGCTACTTATTGGACAGCAAGATATAGACAATTTCTTGACCATCATAAAACCTTAGAGAGATTCACACCATTCCATTGTCATTTTTACCTTTTTCTTTCAGGATGCTGACCTCAGTGGGTTACTTTGCTCTGTCTCTGGATGCTCCTAATTTACATGGAGATGCCTACCTGAACTGTTTCCTCTCTGCCTTGATTGAAGTTCCAGCTTACATTATGGCCTGGCTGCTACTGCGAACCCTGCCCAGGCGTTATATCATAGCTGCGGTACTGTTCTGGGGAGGAGGTGTACTTCTCTTCATTCAACTGGTACCTGCAGGTAAGAAGTTAACCAAGATGAACAGCTTACCAGAAATGACCCACATATTGACTAGGCTGCTTCTGAGTCACTGCTCCCTGTTTATTGAGCCTTTACATCATAAGCTATTCATAAGTCAATCGGACAGGTGATTGTTCACTACGTATGCTGTTTCCTGTGTTCAACAAATAGAAGAGACAGCCCTGGAGAAGCAGAAAGCACCAAAGAGGAAGAGTAACTCTCCTAGTCATCCCCTTCACAGAAAGACTCACCTAAAATCTCCCTTTGAGTCACAGTCATGATTCCGAATTTCTGGCTACTGTCAAACCTTTCCCCTGGGTGTATATTTAAGTATTACAGTGAGTAGAACATGTTGGTTTCAGGATACACTCAGTGGTTTTCTGGTCTTAATCTTTAAGCAGTGAAATAGTGCAAAAAAGGATATATGCTTCCCTATTTCCCTTGTGTCTGACGTTCTCATAATATTAAAATGTCAATAAATTATTGATAGTAATAGAAATACACATTTCTTAATAATAAGATAGATAATAACAGGATAGAAAGGATTGGCCCTCCTCTTTGAAGATAAAACTTAACTATATTAACATGCTAATAGCTTACCATGAAACTGTTGTAACAAATAAAAGACAAGTGGACAAAGGTCACTGAATGCACTAATGACCTAGAATAACAGTAGAACAAAGTACAAAGCCACCCTTCACACTCTTTGTCCATGCCCAAGTATTAGGACATTTGAAGAGAAAAGACTATTTGGGAATACATTTATGTTAATAAAAGCATTCCCACTGAAGCAAAAAGGACAGCAAAAACAACTGAGATAAGAAAATATCACTTCTAAAAGCACCCTTGTTTACACCAGGTCTCTTTTCCAGATTATTACTTCTTGTCTATTGGTCTGGTCATGCTGGGAAAATTTGGGATCACCTCTGCTTTCTCCATGCTGTATGTCTTTACTGCTGAGCTCTACCCAACCCTGGTCAGGAACATGGCGGTGGGGGTCACATCCATGGCCTCCAGAGTGGGCAGCATCATTGCCCCCTACTTCGTTTACCTCGGTGAGCTGCATCTTGTCCATTTATCCTTCATTTAAATTAGCTTTCAATATAAAATATTTTCATTGTGAAAACTCCAAATAGCATAGAATGTTCTGGAAAAAAGTACAAGTTCACCTCTCCTCTCCCAGGAGGAGCCCTAGAAAGCCAACACAAACTGTTTGGTGAGTAGCCCTACAGACATTTTGTTTTGCACAACATCATGTACACATATTTTGCAATATCTATTAAATTTTTTAATGCCATGGACAAAGATGAAGCATGAGGGGTGGCGGCTATATAAGTTTTTGAACACACAAGCAGGCCAGGCATGGTGGCTCACACCTGTAATCCCAGAACTTTGGCAGGCAGACCACCTGAGACCAGGAGTTGGAGACCAGCCTGGCCAACATGGTGAGACCCCTACGAAAAATACAAAAAATTAGCTGGGCATGGTGGCGGGTACCTGTAATCCCAGCTACTCGGGAGTCTGAGGCAGGAGAATTGCTTGAACCCGGGAGGCAGAGGCTGCAGTGAGCCAACATCATGCCATTGCACTCCAGTCTAGGCAATAAGAGCAAAACTCCATCTCAAATAAATAAATTAAATTAAATAATATAAAAATAATAAACACACAAATAACATTATATACATTGAAACTTTCAAAACTTAACATTGTACCAGAATATCCTTCCAAATGGTTACATATTGCTCCTTTACCTTCTTTTTAAAATAAGTACATAGTTCTTCCAATATATGTATATACATAATTTATTTAACTGGGCTCCAGTAAATGGAGAACATGCAGGTCATTTCCAGGTTTTTGCTACTACAAAGAACATTACAACAAACATTCTCCTATGCTCCTACACCCTTTGTGAATTTACTTACATATATTTGGATTCACAGGTAGATTCATAAAAGTAAAATTCCTGGAGCAAAAGTGCCGTTAAAAAATTTCATAGATATTGCCAAATCAAACTCTAAATATTGTATGAAATTACAATCCAATTATTAATAGGTAAGAGTGGTTGCTTCTAATAATCTCACCAACAATAAAGATTACCTAATTCTTTTTTTTGTTTGTTTTTGTTTTGTTTTTTTTTTTGTTTTTTTTTTGTTTTTTTTTTGAGACGGAGTTTCGCTCTTGTTAACCAGGCTGTAGTGCAATGGCGCGATCTCGGCTCACCGCAACCTCCGCCTCCTGGGTTCAGGCAATTCTCCTGCCTCAGCCTCCTGAATAGCTGGGATTACAGGCACGCACCACCATGCCCAGCTAATTTTTTGTATTTTTAGTAGAGACGGGGTTTCACCGTGTTGACCAGGATGGTCTCGATCTCTTGACCTCATGATCCACCCGCCTCGGCCTCCCAAAGTGCTGGGATTACAGGCTTGAGCCACCGCGCCCGGCCCAAGATTACCTAATTCTTTATAGTGATGTGATCCTAGATCCCAGCTCACTGCAGCCTCAATCTCCCAGGTTCGAGAGATCCTCCCACCTCAACCTCCCAAGTAGCTGGGACTATAGGCATGCACACCACTAAGCCCAGCTAATTTTTTTGTGGTAGAGACAGTATTTTGCCATGTTGCTGGTTTCAAACTCCTGGGCTCAAGTGATTCACCTGCTTCAACCTCCCAAAGTACTGGGATTACAGGCATGAGGCACAGCACCTGGCCTACCTAATTTTTTTTATCATTGGCTATCTGTTATGTAAAAAATGGATATCATCATTACTTTCATTCCTATTTATCTAATTATTACTGAGGTTAAGCATATTTTTGTGCATTTATTGGCCATTCTATTTACCTTTCAGTGAACTGACTGCTCATGTTCTTTGCCCCTCCCCCACTTGTTTTTTTTGAGACTGAGTCTCACTCTGTCGTCCAGGCTGGAGTGCAGTGGTGCAATCTCAACTACTGCAACCTCCACCATCCAGGTTCAAGCAGTTCTCCTGTCTCAACTTCCCTAGTAGCTGGGACTATAGGCACATGCCTCCAAGCCCAGCTAAATTTGTTTCTGTGTTTTCAGTAGAGAGGGGTTTCACCATATTGGTCAGGCTGGTCTTGAACTCCTGACCTCAAGTGATCCATCTGCCTTGGCCTTTTATAGACGTGGGCCACTGCACCCAGCCTTCTTTGCCCATTCTTTAATGGTGTATTCATCTTTTTCATTTTATTTATACAAGCTCTTTGCAATGGAAGAAATTAGCCCTTTGTACATATGTTGCAACTATTTTTTATAGTTTACCATTTGCATCTTGACTTTATGGTATCTTTGTAATGAAGAGAATTTTAGTTTTAGTATACTCAAAGGTGTCAATCTGAAATGACACCAAAGAAGTGTTTCAGCAGCATGTTCAACCTCAGGTAGGATCTGACACTCCATGCCTGATTCTCATTAAGGACTCCACTGGTGAGAAATGTAGACACACCTCATCAATTGCTCAATTGGTTACCTACTGGTACACACAGGCACAAACACACACATATACACACACACACACACCTGAAAATATATATGAATTCCTAAGAAAGGTATAATCCAAATCCTTACAGAGAAAGAGAAACATTTTCCTAACTTAAATGTATTCTGCACAGTTGCCCTGAGCCACAACCGAGATAGCAGATTATACAGAGTGGTGTTATTTTTCCCTTTGTCCTTCCCTGTACATTCAAACCATGCTCAGACAGTCCAGTGGTCAGACACCAGTACATAAGATAGGGAGTCCAAGAGCCTTCTATTCTTCAGTAGCTACTCCTGTTAGTGACACAGAGGCCTCAGAAAAGCTTCAACAACATTTTCTTTATGTTTTGGGTCGAATGAAATCCATGGGTGTGCTGCTCCTCTAAAAGCTCTGTATGTATACAGAGGCAAAGCAAGATGAGGATCTGTTGTTCTCCAGTGTGAGTAAAGCTTCATAAAGAAGAGATTTCTTAACCCAAGACATGTAAATGCTGCAAAAAAAAAAAAAAAAAAAAAACAAATCCAGGCACACAGTGCCTTTTCCGAAAGTGCCTGATATTTATTATTTACTGATTTAATCTGGAGTGAACAAAATACTTAGATTTTTTTTTTTTTTTTTTTTTTTTTTTTTTTGAGACGGAGTTTCGCTCTTGTTACCCAGGCTGGAGTACAATGGCGTGATCTCGGCTCACCGCAACCTCCGCCTCCTGGGTTCAGGCAATTCTCCTGCCTCAGCCTCCTGCGTAGCTGGGATTACAGGCACACACCACCATGCCCAGCTAATTTTTTGTATTTTTAGTAGAGACGGGATTTCACTATGTTGACCAGGATGGTCTCGATCTCTTGACCTCGTGATCCACCCGCCTCGGCCTCCCAAAGTGCTGGGATTACAGGCTTGAGCCACCGCGCCCGGCCTTTTTTTTTTTTTTTTTTTTTTGAGTCTTATAGCTCTGTGGACCTAACTTTCCACTGCATCCTACTAGCTTGGGCAAAAGCAGAGATCACACCAGACTTATCATGGCCAAAACCTATCCCTGAAACATCCTGGTTAACCTCCTTCTCCTTGATGTCCTCCTAACCCCCATTTCCAATTACCTCCACCTTAGGAAGAGAACTCTGGTAGGCGAAGAACCTCCCAAAGGAATGTCGGTCACACATGACTGAGCTTAGAGGATATCAGTTGACAGGAAAGAATGAAAAACCTTATGATAATGCAAAAGCATTATAGAAATGCACAATGTCATTTGCCAAAAAGAAACGGATATTTTGCTAACTTCTTTTCTCTGAAAATGTTCAGATTTAAAACCACTCTCATACTATTCGCCACCTTCACAAAATGAGGCTCAAGAGTGCCCAGAGAGTCCTCGTATTTTGTTGATGTTCTTATGTCCCATGCTTTATAGGTGCTTACAACAGAATGCTGCCCTACATCGTCATGGGTAGTCTGACTGTCCTGATTGGAATCATTACCCTTTTTTTCCCTGAAAGTTTGGGAACGA